TTGTCCAATATAAAGCCCTGCTTATAATGAGTGGTAATTTTTTCAAACAATAAACATCTGATCCCCTCACTTTGTATTGAGCATGTCGGGGTCCCAACCACCCCACCCCCCCACTCATAAATTCAATTCTGATTATTTAGGGTCAGCTGCTTCCACCCTGCTTGTCAGGGCCAACCTTGGATGAGTGGGAAGAGCATCCAGGGATACCACTGAAATTTTGTGACAGCTTGAAATTCATGAAGTTTCATAATAAAAAAGAAAAAGACAGATGACAGACACAACTAATATGAGGCTAAACAGAAAAAAAATTCTGAGAATAATACAGTGTAGTAGTAGGCACACATAGCAAAATTGGCAGGACGAAAAAATCTTTCATTCTGAACTTTGTTATCAATAGTATCATGTATTTTAAATCCAATCATATATATTGGAGAAAAAAAATAGAGACCTAAGAATCTGCTCGTTATGAGAGAGTTCACCATGGGCTTGCTAGATTGTTAACTGTAACACATTTGATTTGATCATGGGTTTAAGTGAAAATAAAGCAATAATAAGAGGAATCGATCGAGTTTGTTATTGATCCAGTGCAGAAAAGAAAGGGAAACATAGCATCTCTGGGTATCCCAAAGGACTGATAGACTTGCCAGATTGTAACTGTAACATTTGATTTGATCGTGGATTTAAGTGAAAATAAAGCGATAATAACACGATTCGATCAAGTTTGTTGTAGTCTTTATTGATCCAGTGCAGGAAAAAAAGGGAAACACAGCATCCCTGAGTATCCTAAAAGACTGATGGAGATCCTACACAGGAATTCAATATGATCACGTCTTGTAATGCATGTGATGACAAAGAGTCTTTTTACAGCTTAGATGCACACATTGGTAATCAAGAAATGAGCATGAACAACATCAGTTATGATGAAAAATCTACAAGATATAGTAGTAGTAGTACAGTGTACTTAGATTCAAAGGGGAATCTAACTCCTTTTGTTGAATCTGAGTTTTCAATCCGATTTAGTTGAATCCATGTTCTACTGTACAGGTCCACTATTCTCTGCAACATTTAATCATCAAGGAAAGAACTGGATTTGGAGAGGGAAGTAAGATTTGACACCACCAACATAACAAAGAGTAATTTGTTAATCTCTGGCAAGAAAAATCAGTTCTGTACAACACCTGCAGATATAGAAGTTTAACATCTTTATTTCAAAGCTGTAAGAAATCACAATAAAAGATGATAGACCTCTTGAACTTCATTCTCCCCTCCCCACTTTACTTCGCCTCCTCCCTTAGATTTCAATGAAAACGACTTCAAACACCTCTGCAAATTTATACGACAATAATACTAATATGATACTACAGCCAACTTGACTGGAAGGAAACCATTTACAGGCCAGACCAAAACAACTATACCTAGAGCATCAATGGAATACACACTTAGCATATATATATATAATATATCAATGCTTTGGAAGGAGTTCCGGAGAGGGCAGGCCGACCTACCCCTAACCCTGAACCTAACCCTAAACGAAACTCTTAGGTTGCTCAGAGGACCTTGTCACAGTAAGTGCCGGCCCTCTGCGGAACTCCTCCCAATGCTTATATATAACTCACTTCCTTCAGCTACATCCTGCATACCACTACTATTAGGCCATTCAGAATACTCAGGGACACGATCAGCACTTCCAGAGCTCAACTCATCTGACCTCTGACCATCATGGCAAGAACAGCTGGAGTCGCATATTTGGAGCTTGACAGGGAAAGCAGACTTGCGCTTTCTGGATGATTTTCTGCTCTGGCTTCGGCCACCGATGGGCTGCTCAGCACCCTGTGATCCAATGTCACTGTTTTTGTTTATCTTAAACGATAGAGGTTCTTCTTGTACTGGTACCATTTGATGAGCAACAAGCTTATTACCCTTAGAAACATCCTCCTCGTAAATATCACTGCTAGATGTTTCCTTTCCCACTCCATCTGTACCCGTTGAGTGATCATGTTCGCTGACATTATTTTCACCTTTATTAGACGTTGCCTTAAAGATCATTTGTCTTATTTTCACAGGTTCACTGTACCCACTGGACAAAGAAACTAGATCTATTTGTTCGCACGGATCCTTTTGATGAATCTCTGTCTTGTATTCACAACCATCAACAATGCCAGGCTTCATTTGCATTATCAATGATGAAGTAGTATGCTCATTGTTTGTACCATTGCTATCAAAACAATTGTTGTTGACATTATGACAGTTTTGTTCTTTAAGATCTTCTCTATCTCCAACAGACAGTTGTGAGGCAGAATCATCCAGTTCAGAATCACTCTTTGGTTTGACTTGCATCATCAGATCCATCATGTCATTTCCTCGATCTAGAAATCTAGATACTATACTACTATACAACCACCCATACACTACACACTAAGTCTAAGTACTACAATAAGCAGCAAGCTTTCCCACACACAGCAAAATACAGCGTTTATTATATTAAAATTAAAACGAAACATAAATAACGTCCAATTTTAATTAAAAGCTAGGCTACACTGCACAGCTTCCTCCTTCACTAGGCCTATCGAATTTCCATTTCCTCAAATATATGTGGAATATAGAATCTAGACTAAGCAGTAAAAAAAAAAAGCATTGGTCAAAGCAGTCTCTGGTCAAAAGGCAGTTCCCAAAAATATTATGGTCCTTGGAGAAATGGTCCCAAACAATCATGCTTTATTTACAGTCACCAAGAAGCCTAAAAACTCATTGACCATCTCTCATAGCTTTGGGAGAGAGAGAGCGAGAGAGAGAGCGAGAGAGAGAGCGAGAGAGAGAGCGAGAGAGAGAGAGAGAGAGAGAGAGAGAGAGAGAGAGAGAGAGAGAGAGAGAATGTAGACTATTAGATAGGCCTAACCTAACCTAAAGTAGGCTACACGTACGTCAAAGATCATACAAAAGGCCCTGCCCTAGGCCTTCTCAGAACTGAGAAGGCCAAGGCCCTGCCTCAAGCCTGGAGGAATAGACAGAGTTTTTCTTCTTTCTTCTTCTTCTTTGACCTCCCCAGCTCCCGAAAAAAGCCATCATATCAACATAAAAACTAAAAACAAGCGTTGAAGCGACCCCCCGAAAAATAAAAACCAAAATTAATAGCAACAACCTGAAAAAAAATCACAATACCCCAAACAAGTAATAACCAAACAAAGCGGTCAAAGCACTAGATTCGACATATTATAACATATTAATAAAAGTAAAAGCAATAGGCCCTATTATCGTTTAATTATTTTTTGTTGTTGTTTTATTTTGTTTCCTGTCACGTTCTGAGAGTTCGGGGAACGACAAAGTAAGATTAGGTCCGCGAAATTTTAGTTTCAGTTTTCCAACGCCAACGACCCACTTTCAATTTTGTTGTAGTGATGGGCCGATACCACAATTTAGATATCAATATCGATACCTAGTACTTTTTCAAGGTATCGATACCGATACCTCGATACCCAATGCTATTGGTAACATACGCCGGGGGTAATAAGTAAAGACAAAAATACAACTATACTTTTCCAAGTATTTAGGTAATCGTGTCTAGACAAGTTGTGACTATTTAGCTGAGACTCAAACAAAAATTATTTGTAAAAGAGAAAGAGAGAGAGAGAGAGAGAGAGAGAGAGAGAGAGAGAGAGAGAGAGAGAAATAAATACCCAAATATGAGAATAAAAACAAAAATTAAGTGAAGTATGGGAGGAAAGTCATTTGCAGAACACAAGAGTTCTAAAAAGGCTATTCAATTTACCAGATTTTCAGCAACTTTTAAATTAAACCAATGAGGATAAATCAGGGTTGTCAGTGAGGATTTTGCAAAATCATTAGATACATTTCATGAGAAACTTCTCTCTTTTTGTTAAAAAATCACTAGATTAATTCGTTTGTTTGTTTAGTATAGGATTTTACGGCGTTCGCAACTGCATAAGGTCATATGAGCGCGCGGGACACACCTAATTCTTTTTCGTTGGTAGGAAATTTTGAATTTTGCCCGGGTGGCGGCCGAAGCCTACTCTTATCGATTTTAGACCACCAAGTGATCTTTAACGTGCGCAACTTGCACACGGGCACTCCGAGATTTTTCGCCCTTGTCCGAGAAAGCTAGGTGTAGATCTTCCTACCAGAAGATCAGGGGTGTGGCAGAAAGACAGTAGTTAGGAGGAGCCAAGGAGTAGCAGTAGAAATTAATTAAGGCTGCAGAAAGAGTCAGGAGCCCAGAGGAGGGGGCAAAGGAGGCGAGGGGTGGGGGCAGAAAGTGGAAATGAAAGCAGACAACAGAACATTGTTAGAGATCAGGAAAGGATGTGAAAAGGAGACAATTTTAGAGAAGAAAATTTTTTGGTCGCTACCCGGAATCGAACTCGGGACCTTTGAATGAGAGGCCAACACCTTAACCTCTAGGCCACGAGAGCCCCTAGATTAATTTAAAACGCTTGCCCCCTACGAAAACTTATCAGTTTTGATAAACAAAAAATTCTCAAGGCCCAAGTCACTTGCTTTGGCAGCCCTGGGATAAATAATACATAGGTATCGATGTTTAGAGCAGGTATCGGTACCGATACCGATACCAATAGGTATCTAAGTATCGAGTACCTGGTATCGATACCTGCCCATCACTATTTTGTTGTTGTGTTGTGAAGTCGGCCTGCTCGGCCGCGTCGTCTGTTTTGGCTTTCAGTTTGAGTTTGCAAGGACCCACTTCAAATTGTCAAGTTTCGACCTGAGAAGAACACTGTCCAAAATTTGTTCTTTCGGTCTTCATGCAGTCTTTTTTAATGATAAATAGATTTATATCTAGACTACATAGATCTAGATAATTTAGATAGATCTAGATAGAAGACTAGATCTAGATCTAGATTCTAGACTAGATTAGAGATGTAGTCTAGTTGGCAGTTCAGTAGGCTATATGGGAGCTCAGCAAAAATATGGGTACAATTACAAAGTAAAAGTAGAATCTAGAATCCAAGCAAGTTTAGCAAGGCTATTTGTAGGCTAAAGTATAATTTATAGGCTTGTAAACTCAGATCTATAGCAGCCTATATTTATAACATTGGCCTAGATCTATATTTATTCTGCATTCCATTACCCTAGGCCCTAGGATGCTTGGGCTTGTGGGTAACTCAGAGTAACTGCCAATTCATTTTTTAGACTAGATTAGATCTAGATATATATATATATATATATATATATATATATATATTTAGATCTATAAGGGGGAGGGCTTATATTATATTCATCAGTAGTTAATTTTAGTGCAGACGTGGGCACATCGTTGTAACATTTCTCATTGTACTTGTACAGTACCCTACCAGATAGTTGAGATAGTGGATGGATACAGAGGACACCTGGAAAAAAGAAACAATTCTTAATAAAGGCAAAGACAATTAGCAGGGCTAATATCTATTGACTTGATGATAACAATTACGTATCTGATATGGCAGGCATTTGTTGGTAAAAATAAAAGAAAGTTGGAAGTGTCATCATTTGTAAAAGTGAATGGTGGGCATCCTCTACAAAGTGCTGACCCAAGTGTTTCAAATTCATGTCTAGTCGCACCAGCAGTCAACCAAGCTTCTCAGTTTTTAGCTGTTATTATAGAGTTTTTTGACAATCTGTGTGCCTTGCCATATCATCATCCACCATCAGGTGTAACAGTTAGTAACGTGACGACATCTACTACTGCAAGAGAAGTAATTTACTGCACAGTGACAGGCCCAGTGTTCGTAGTTCTAGACTGAGATCTAGATCAAATAGTCTTCCACTACTACCACTCACTGTCAGTGCACCTGGTGAGAATCCTTTGATTTCAACAACAAATTGTTGGTGCCATTGCCACAGAGTTGCCGTCAAACATTCCCATCAAGTGACCTCTTCTTCGAAATCGAGAGTATCCCAGTCTGCTTCTTCTTCAAAAGGTCAAAATCAGGAGGAACAGGTTTACGGATTTTCTCCATCATCCTGTGGTCATTCTCTCGTTGAAAGAAAGAGCACGAAAAGTAGTTGCGACTCGCAGAAAGGAAAACAAGGTTCTAGGTTTGCTGCATTATTTTAACTTTCATTTTTCCCTTTATTTTGTATCATTTTTTTCATCATTTATATTATGATATACAGTAGTCTCCGCCTAAGATCCCAGTGCTCGAGAGCAAAGAAAATGCGGGATCTTAGGCGAACCGAGATCTTAGCCGAATGGCCAGGGGGAAGAATCTATAGTAACTCATGGTCAGGCCCTTAATCTGTACAATGATCTTCAAAATGAACTGATGTGACTCCTGGGCAATAGAAGTTATTTTCAAAAGTCAGTTTTTCCTGGGGGGGTTTTTG